ATTACTTAAAAATGGAGTACATAATAGCAAAAGTGCATATGCAATATGTAATGGTGCACATTCACCTTCTAAAAAAACATCAGGAACGATATTTATACTTGTTATGTTTTTCCCGAAAAGTAATGCACTTTATTGTTAGTCTAATGCACTTTTCCTCCGTAGTAATGCACATTTGTCACGTTAGTTTTCAAAAAAGTTTTTAATAATTACACTTTTGGCACCAAATTTTTTCCTTAAAAATTGATCTGATCCACTTGTTTTCTCATTTTAACGGCTAAGATTACTTCTCATTTTTCATATAAGTAGTACTTTGTATTTGAACCTCCCTATATATATATATAATATATATTTACCCCGATTTTGATCAAAAAACTAGAAATGTCTTTTGGGGCAGGGACCAGGAAACACCGTACCCTACCTGTTTATTAATAAAAAGGAAGGTACATAGAGTAGAAGAGTCAATCCAAAGCCTACTCTCAAGAACATACATAGGGATAACTAATAGCATCAAATTTTAAGATACCAACAAAATGATTGAAATGGCGATTCTTGGTATTACTATATGCTAAGTAGTCAGCTGCTCCATTAATCTTGGGATTAATGTGGGTAATTGTAGGGGTGGGCAAAAATACCAGAAAATCGGTATACCGCAATTATCGTATCGAAAAATACCGAACTATTGGTATACCGTCATTTTTACGGTATGATACCTTACCGATTTATTTTGGTACGGTAACGCTAAATGTTTTCAAACCACGGTATACCGGTATAATACCGTACCGACTCCCTACCCAACAATTACTTTTAATTTTAAAAATATTATAAAAGTCCATTACAATTTTGAAGCCCAAAATTAATACTTACATTGGTTACAAATCCCTAATGACTAATGTACTAATGTCCAAAAACAAGTTCATCTTGTTCCAAGAGCTTGCAAGTCGCGATGGTTGACTCGCTGAGTAGCTGATGAATGAAGATAGATACACTTATGTGACATGTGGTGTATCTATACAGGGATTCCACGAGTCGAGGCACACAACTTTGTCCGAAAGTCTTATTCGATTTTTTTAAAATTATAAAAATGACTAAATACACAATATTATATTAGGAATAAATGATTTCATATCCATGTTGTTTGAAAATTTTATTTATTATTGTTAGAGATCACTGTTGATTTAAATATATCTATATTGTTCAAGTTATTCTAGAAGAATGTGTTATTTTTTAATACGTGGCATGTTGAACTGCTTAAATATACTAATAATAATATAATTATTGTTCAATATTGAATACGACATCATTAGATTATTAATTGTATTTGTAACATTTTAATAATGGATTAAATATGTCACTAGTAACACCGATTTAGCATATTTCGTTAGTCTATGATAATTTGTATAATGGGAGACATGCATGATAATTTACCGATACCGTACCGTTACCGAACCGAAATTAACTTCGGTATACCGAAATGCGGTATACCGAAACTTCATTCGGTAAAGTAACGGTATATAAATTTTGCATACCGAAAGTTTTGATATGACTAAATGACCAGTTGTAGTCATTTAGCTTCATTCTTATTTCTTGGATCCGAGGCCAGCATTTCCAGTGTTGAGCGGACAGACCTGTAACACCTTCATAGATATCTCTATTAATTATCCACTTCAAGAATAAAATATGTCAAGTTTATCTTCTTGATGTTGATATAGTCTCTAAGATGGCATCTAGGAGGCTAAGGTGTTGTCACAGTTGTGAGTGATGTATGTCATATAGATATATGTCACATTGAAACATTTTACAGCTTCTCATCCTTAGTTAAATGTTCTTTGCTCCCATTGGAATGCCATAATTTCTCATTCTTTTTTTTTCTTTTTTTTTTGATAATCCAGGTGCCAGGGCTTACGTTCCCATAATCATGAAGTCTATGACTACCCATCAGTACTGGCTCAAAGGACGAATCCAGCAGGACTTACATCACCTTTCAGGCTGCTCCTCCCACCACACGAACCTGCTACCTTCATTACCATCCTCTCCCTTCTCAGCCGCTGAGCAACTCCGTGAAGGTAGGAAGAAACATTGGGAGCAAGACCTCCCTCATCTCCCCTTGGTGGGAATTGAACCCAAGACCTCCCACAAAGGAGAGACTTAGGGGTGGATGGTCATCCATTGGACTACACCCACATTCCCCGGAATGCCATAATTTCTCATCTGTAGCATTGCAACAGTTTAAAACTTCTCTCACACCGGATCTCTAAAACAATCAAACACTATATTAAGATTATGTTCTACTCCTCACCATTTAGGATGGAACTTCATGTTTTAACACGATATCAGAACCAAATTGATCCATAGTATGACGCGCGTCCCTATGAAAAATGATGACAAAATTATAAAAAAATTATAATGATGAACCGATTAAAAAATGAACGACAACACGATCATGTCTAGTCGTGAGGAGGGGTGTGCGCGTTGTTATCTCACAATATCTTTAAAACAATTAAGCATTATATTAAGATTGTGAGATACTCCTCCTATTATGTTGGTCTTTTAGAATGGAATCACGGGTCTTAACAAAGTCTTGTCATCATTTTCTCTAGGATTTAACCGATATTTGACTGGATAAGACGTTGATACCTTGATTACAACTCAAAAGCTATTAACAAAGAACGAACATTAATACAACAATCATGAGAAAATATGATTATCTCCACGAGCATTAGTGAGTCATTCATCAGAATTTCATCAACTTTAGCAAATTCAACAATTTCGGTGCTATCGAGTGTGCTCTGAAATCTTGAGGTATTCAGCTCGTAAATTTTCAAATCATGCAAAATTTGAATCATTTTTCCCATAAATAAATATTCCCTCCATCGCTATCTAAATATTTCTTATTTTTTTAGGCTTTCCTAAATAAAGTATTTGTTTTTATTTGGTAAAGAAATAATTATTAACTTATTTAATACAAGTAATAATAATTGTGTGATGTCAAATAGTGTTAAACAGGTAAAACGGGGTCTAGAAATATTTCTCTACAATAATATTACTTTGAATAAAAAGATTATTACAGAAGTCAAAGAAAAATGAATCTAGTTTCCTTGTATTTTGTATTAAGAGCAAGGGTTTCATCTAAAGATCAATTTGGTATAAGGACTTGTACAAAATTTATATGTGAATTTGTCATTTTGCATTTGACCAATATGAGATAACTTAAAATGTTGTATGTGAATTCGTATCTTTCTATTTGACCAATGTTGACTTATTCTCAAGAACAAATGTTTATGTCAATGTGTGTAAATTATATTGTACAACTGGTCGTACGGTGAGCACCGTACAACCGGCATTTCTGTAATTAAATTTGCGCTCTGCAACTCATCGACAGATGGAATCTAAAGCAAACGACCAAGAACCGCGTTGTGCAACTCATCGACGTTGTTTGAGTTCCAGAAGGAGGGACGTTGATCCGTATGATGTCTTTGGTGACGGATGATCTGAGTCTCAGATTCATGGTGTCATCGTCACTTGCCGGAAGAACTTATGAAATCACCGCGGGCTAGGCAAAAAGTGATCTGGTGTATCCGCCGGTCAAATGGAACAATGAAACAGGGGAAGTACTCTCGAAAGAGAAAGCCACTCGTTTTTGGACAAGAAAATATAGTTTCTAGTTGAACCAATTTGAAATGAGTATAATGCCTAAAAGAAATGAACATGCACAAATAAATATTAAACACATTAGAAATGAGTTTTATATATCAAACTCAAATAAGTATAATGCCTATAAGAAATGAACATACACAAAAAAATATTGAGCACATTAGAAATGAGTTTTATGTCAAGTTAAATGCGTATAGCGCCTAAAATGAATAAACATACACAAATGAGCTTTTGAATTTCTCTATACTCATGTTGTAAGTTATGTCTGCTCATTTGGTACTGGTTTTATGCTCATTTCAATATATTATATAAATGCATATTTCAAAAGTATCATACTACATTAGATTCCCATATATTAAGATGAATTGGAATTGATTATAGACATAATTTAAAAAGGAAAAAGGGGCAAATATACCCACGTACTAACAAAAAAGGTCACATAAGCCCTTATATAGGAGGCTATGTCCGGCCGTCGTCATTTGGGCGGTTCCCGGTGGAAATTTTTTATGCATTTTTTTTTAGCATATTATTCATTAAGTCTAGTTTACTCATACCAAACTTAACCTAAAACTTCAATCGGGAAGGTATTCAAATGAATTCTTGAATATAACTGCGCAGTTAAAAGCGCAATTATCTTCAAGAATTTATTTAAATGTCTTCCCAATCGAATTGTTAGCTGAAATTTGGTATGAGTAAACTAGACTTAATGAATAAAATTCTAAAAAAAGTTCATCAAAAAATTCCACCGAGAACTGCCCCAAATGACGACAGCCGAACAGAGCCTCCTATATAAGGGTTTATTTGACATTTTTTGGTTAGTACGTGGGCTTATTTTCCTCTTTTTCCATTTAATATATATATATGTGTGTGTGTGTGTGTGTGTGTGTGTGTGTGTATAAGAAAAAAATAATAAAAAAATGAACTAGAAGATATGGAGCAAATATTACGATTCTCATTATTAGACTCTTAATACTCAAAATAATATGCTCGATGCTCAATAAAATTGCATTAATGTTCATTTAAAAGAACGATGATTTTCACCAAAATTGCAAAACTATCCCGACTGTACCGTGCAAGCCGTACAACCGGTTGTACCTTTTACGCATCCATCGATGCACTCAATTAAAAGTCTTATTCAAATTTCTGAGTGTAATAATCACTCTAATACGGAGTATTATTTTAAATTCGAGATTTTAACTTAAAAAATTAATAGGTGAACTTTATTTTAAAATTTGACTACCGTACGATGTCTTAACACTGTTTGGTTGGAGTGAAATGGAAAAGCGAGAATGAGGGCAAGGAAATGGAACTGGGTGAAATAAGAGAGAAATATGCATTTCTTCATAACTTTTTTATCTTCTTTTTCTCTGTTTCTTATATAAAAAGACACGAAACCTACATTATATTCTCTCTTCTCCATCTATTCTCACCAATTTTTTTCCTCTCCAACTAACTCCTCACTAAACCAAACGAAGGCTTAGTCTACATTCAAATCATTTCACAAGTTCACCAGCCAATTGACAGGACGACTGCATTCATATCATCATATACTAAAAGATCTCGGGGGAGGCCTATAGTTAACATAAGCATTCCTGGCTGAATCACATTTCTGTCTGATATCCTCACACATCTTCAGAGACGCCTCCGAGAACCGGTTCAGTCTGTCCAGTACCACAGTCAAACTCGCATGAACCCGGTTCAAACTCTCACGGTTCTCCACAGCTCCAACACCGACCACCACTGTTTCCTGTTTATCACACGACAATGGCTCCTCCTCAGGCTGATGTTGTTGTTCACCAGAGAGACGCAGGTCATGCAGAAGCGCTCTTATGGCATCATTGAGTTCTTGAGAAGGGAGAGACTGAATGCCGACTGACCAATCACGGCAAAGGACGAAAATGGGTGGGGCAATGACCCTTCGAGGGGAGAAAGCTCTTCTGCTCTTCCGCTCCGGGGGTTGCAAGATGCAGTTCTGCAGCCAGCTGTTTAGAGCTTCCACATACGATGTCTGGCTGTTTATCCAATCAGTGAAGCTCAGCCCAAAGCACTCCACCTCATCCATTAGTTGAGCCAATATCTCCTTCTTCTGATCATCTCCTTGGGGATTAGTACTTGTAGTGCGAGTCTTGGCATGGTATGCTAGCGAGATAGTTATGTACTGTGTGTGATGGCATTCAAGCATTGCCCTCCACATTCTGATCAACCTGCACGTTTACCCGTAAAAGCTTGTTAAGCTCTGTTTGGTAGCCATATCTATCTTTTGCAGCTTATAAGCAGTATAAGTTAGCTTTTGACTAAAGCTGAACGAAAAAGCCCGAAAACCGAAATTGAACTAATAAAACTGAGCAAAACAAAACTGAAACTTATCAAAACCAAGCTAATCATATGTGATTCTGCTAATAGTTTAAGATCATGCTCTAAAACCCAGTTGAACCTAACTATTTTTTACCTAAAACCGGCTGAAGTTGATCAAACATAACTTATCCAAAACTGACCAAAATCAGCTTATCTTACCTGGCTTTGCTTTTTTCAAAACCTAACCAACCTAACTGAAGTCAACAAAGTCAAATTAACAAAGACCCTGCTTTTGAGCGTGTTTGGCAGCACATTATTTTGGCTTGTCTGCCTGCCCAAACAGTAAGTTTTTTCACAAAACACTAATTTCAAAGCACTTGCTGGAACAAATATTGTTAATTAACAAAGGTAAATGCCGAATGCAGGGAGCCAAGAAATACCCTTTTGACTGAAGTAGCTGAAAATGACATTTTGATCTTTAGCAAAATTCAGCAAAATTCAGCCATTCTACTTACCAAAGGAGCTTTGACTTTCTGAAATGGATGTTACCAAATGAATGCTTCTCCTTTCAGAACATTCATCATAGTCAATCATTTCACAAAAAATATAACCCTTTCCAAACGGATCCTAACTCAAATAAAACATAATATATCCCAACCTACCCCTGAATAAGTTCCAAAAGTTGAGGCATCAGTTCTTCATCCCTCATTTTCTCAATACGCTTTGATATTGAGTCAACCGCATAAAGTGCGACCTTGATTCGTGAATGTAGATCTTTTACCCCTGCTCTGGTTTTGTCTATCACTTGGGAGCTAAGATCTTTGGCGAATTGGCGTCTTAGCTGGGTGCACTTCCGGTCATATTCCCTTCTGATTAAGTCAATTGCCTGCGAAAATAGAAATATTCCCAATATATGCACTGGTAGAATTATAATTTAATGATTACGATATTCATGCTGGTCCTTAATGGAGTAAGAAAGGTAAAGTCTTACATAAGAATACATTCTGAATTTTAATGCTACATAAGTCAATAATCAATTTTATAGATCTCAATTAGGTTCAAGCCCTTGAAACTTCCCTAATGTAGATACTAGTACAATATTGGTTTTCAATGTTATATTGGCTCATACTTAGGAATTCTCCATTACAACAGAAAATTTGTAGATTTATTCAATAATTTCATGAATTAGTTTTTAGTAGTATAAAGCTCAGGAAAGAAAGCTCTGGCACTTTGCTCAGGAAAGTAAATTAGGCCTAAAGAACTATTCGAATTGGTATATAATTAAAGTTTGGAACTATTGACTTCCTAATGTGTTGATGATTTTGGAAGATAGTCTACGAAGATCTAAGAGATCTACCTACCTAATCAGAATCTGGAAGCCCATCTTTATGTAATTTTTAAGCCATGAAATCTAAAATTCTTTCCTGCTTATGTAGTCAGTTCCTCTTCAAACATCGAAAATCATTGCATTGTGTTTATGTATGGAAGGGGGGGTGTTATGCAAGTACCTTCACTTCATCATAAAGCTTCCTCTCCCATGCATATATTCTGTCAAGGGTTGAAGAGTGGCTTCCAGCAATCATGCAAAACTCTGCAACAAAATCACCCCCGCTGTCCTCGTTCTCATCTTTCCCATTCAGAGGGTTCCTTGATGAAGATGACCTCGAAGATGTTGTCCTCTTCCAAGTAATTACCTTTGTGGCATTCTGCTCCCCTCCTTCTGTTTACCATAAAAAAACTTCTTCAAATTCAATAACAACGAATAAGAAAAAAATACACTCCCTTTGTCTCATTGTCCCAAACACTTTAACACTTTCTCTTTAAAGTAAATAATTTTCTTTCTATTTGTTTCTCTCTCCTATACACAACTCTCGACCACACAATTTTTACTTTTCTTATTTCACTCATAACACAAAGTCACAAACATGGCAATGTCTAATGGGACAGAGGTAATTAACAATTTTACTTTTCTCCTTAGGAATAAAAATGGAAATGCAAGCAATGAGACAGGTTGAAGACAAACAAGTACAGCTCTGATTATAAGCACTGAGCTTTCCATTGTAAGCTAATGCGATAGTATGTTAAAACTAACAAATCAAGTAACACAGACACAGTTAGCCTAGAAGTGATTTGATAACCAAAAGAAGTTACAACTAGAATAAAATTTAGTCCAAAGTTCACCACCAGATTCATTTGCAGTTCCTCCTCGACAACAAACTGCACCAAGGGAAGTCAAGTATATCGAAGCTGACAATTTTCCTGAAAAGAGAATAGATAAATGTCACATTTCAAACACAAGCACATTTTAGAAAGAACAAAAAGGGGCCTAAAGTAAAATACAGTTTCTTCCATGAAGCTGTAACATACCTTTAGCCAGTGAGTACCCAACATGGATTTTGCTAGCCTCAAGCATCCTGGAAACTTCTTTACCAGATTCTGATGCTTTAAAGAAAAGGTGTTCAATGTCCTTCACACTAGAGAGAAAATCCTTAGCCCTATGTGTTATGAACTCTGAAGGATCCTCTCTTTCTGTGGATAACCCATCTTTCCCTACGGAACCTGACTCGCCCTCTATTTGGCTGCTACTGCTCATGTCCTTAGCATCACTTCCAAACCCACGTTGACTGTTGGTCTTCGTCCCTTGGGGTGTAACGGGATGGGATGAACTAGGTGTCAAGAATTCTTCTTCAACCACATCTCCTCCACCATTTGAGCCATCATTACACACCGCGAACCTAAAGCTTCCAGAAAATTCATCAATGGGGTCGAAGAAATCCCATGAAGAGCCGCCTCCTTTGCCACTATCTTCATCAACTTTCACATTGCTAAGTGGCTGGGCCACCTTAACAGTGACAGGTTCAGTTCCACCTGAAGTCATGAAACTTAACCTGGCGGTGAGGGGTGAAACAGGGCTTCCATTGTTTAGAGCTGGAGAAGAATCTGAAGCCCCACCCCCAGCATGGGACTGGGGGGGCGAAGGGTATGAGAAATGTGAGGGGTTCTCAATCAACAGCTCCGCCTCTGCGTACCTCCTAAGACCAATGCCTATGTTTCTTAGAGATTGAACATATGAGACATGGCCAGCTGCTAATGCATATCTGGAGTCGATAGCTTCTTTTATAAACCTCTTTCTCTCTTTACAAAGCCTCAAAGCTTCACTTCTCTCACCTTTTGAGCTCGCTCCGCCCATTTGCTTACAGCTTCACTAAAACAACTTTAAATCAAGAAGACATCCACATCTACTATGCATTATAAAAACCTTCCAAAGTATATTTGAAAATAAACGAAACAAAAGATAGGTGGCAATTGAAACTCCAATAAATATATCAAATAAACAAAAAAAAATCAAACCTTTATTAGGTTTACAGAATCAATGCAAAAAGGGAAGCGAGGGCTTGGCGATTGAAACAAGTGATATTCGGGTCTGGGATTTAAACCACTAGCATTCAAGAAATCGTGTATCCAACCCACTACCCGAGCATTTAACTTCACCTTTTAATGCAAACCCGAACCAAAACCATCCCATCATTTTTTTGCTTTAATCAATCACGAAGTACTTAATAATAGTGCAACCGAAGTACTACCCTGCATTTGCCAAGAAGCCCTCCCTTTATGTCAATGGAACTCTAATGTTCTGTTTGTTTGGCGATATCTTTTGGGATACCGTAAGCGTGAGAGGGGAGAGCTGAACCGCATCGATAGGCCCGTCCTCTTTCTGGCGTTAATTCATTCTTATACTCGGAATTGATGTCAGAAAAACAGCCTTTCTCATAGTACTCCCTCCCTAGCATAAGTAACTTGGTAAATTTATTAATCTCTTTGGCACTTGCTGATAAAAACCGTTGCATGAATTTGAACATATAATAATCGAAGTATCACCGTGGCGTCCTATTGTTAGAACACCAACAATAAGACGGACTACTAATTTCACGAACATCTCCTTGTAAAGTTGTAACGGCTCCCTAAAATCCTGTTCCTCTTGATCCCTAGGTCCAATTTACTTTAAAATTTAATAATACTCCGTACTAGTATATGATCATGTTCTTTTTTTATCATCAAATCCAACTAATATATTGAGCCTCTTTGGCACTCAACGGTTAGCGGATAGCGGATTTTATTAGCGGGTAGTAAATAGCGTATCTGATCGGCGGATTTGACCAACGGGTTTGTTTAGCGGGTTGCAGAAAAATGTTTGATAAACTAGCGATTTGTTTTTAGCGGTTAGTATCAAAAAAGACTAAAAAGGACATTATAAAAGTTTAGTATGTTTTTTTGTTTAATTTAAATTGAGCAATATACTAATTTATATGTACATTATATATGTTAGTTTAACTTTAAAATTAACTAAATAATAATATAATAATAAAATTTAATGAATTCATAAACATTAATCCTTTCAAAAAAAGAATTCATAAGCATTAATAGAAATCTAAAAATAGGATACATATCTGCAGAGTATTATATACGAAGTATCCACGTATTCACATATTTCGATACCCATTTAAATCAAAACATAGATTCAATGGATTGGTCCACACGAGAGAGTAGTAATACACATGTCTATTCAAGAATAATATGCAAGAGAAACAAACTAGTGAGGAGCATCGAATGATTGAAAAGGCAAACGGTCGCAGGCTGCAGCGAAAAGACAGAGGGGCAACCGTGGAATTCAATTTGTGTTCCAACCCGCCAAAGTTGAAACGCTACGATTAGTAGCGTCTTCGTTTTTGGAGGTTTCTTCCAAAATGCTAAGGCCAACCTCCATTTGCCAAACAGGAAAAAAGGAGCGGTTGCTAAGGTTCAACACGCTAAAATGGTCAAACACGCTAATATTTAGCCAAAACGCCGATATCCAAACGACACCATTAAATCAAAATAATGTTCGTCACATGGCTGATAATACAATCAAGGAAAAAGGAATAAACAAAATGATACAAAGCCTTATATTTGTCGTCCGCTCTCGAACCAGACTGAGAATCTATCACCTCTGTAGAAGCAACAACATTCGATGATCCTGTAATGGGCATAACTGAGCCAATGACTGTCAAACCAGACTTCTCATTACCTAACCTAAATTTAAGAATTTCTCTGGTAGGAAAAAAGAACACGACCAAAAAAACATGCAATTCGACAGAAAAACACAGACTGAATAAAACGCAATTAAAATAGAGTTCACCCATCTTCTTCCAAACCCTAGATTTGCTTGCACTCCATGACGGCGGCTTAGGAGGGGGACGCGCCCGCCGCTCATCCGCCACACCCTCACCATCAGCTTCATCTAGATCCAGTTCTTCTTCCTCTACTCCAATCGCCATCTTCTTGTACAGTTCTCTACAATTCCATGATAAGATGCTCGTTGACTCTTCCCTACCAAAATCCTCCATGTGATCTCCTCCTGCAGCCAATAACAAAGACCTTCTCGATGTCGTACTCGCCTGAGCGAAGCACCGCCGGACAATCAAGTTAGGTGATGCCTAAGGCGTCAACCCTAGAGAGAGAAAACTTTTAGGATTTAAGTTTACACAGTATGTACCCAATACAGTTTCTCTTCTTAAACATTATATTTTATATGATCATGTTCTTTGACTGGTCCCATTCTTTTTGCATATTTAATTAGTGTTCTTAGCTATTACATAGTAAAAGATAAGCTTACTAACAATTGAGTGAGATAATTATGTCTCTCATGTGTAGTTCTTTTAAATATAAGAAGTCAACAGACAATTGAGTGAATAATTTTCTCTCATTTGTATTGTATTGTGTTTAGGTATAAGAAGCTAAGAAGATAAATTTGCTAACAATTGAGAAGAATAATTTTCTCTGTCATATGTAGTGTTTATTAGTATGAGGTAAGATAAATGTGCTAACAATTGAGCGGGATAATTTTCTCCCTCATATGTAGTACTTTTAGATATGTAGTACTCCCCCCGGTCCTAAATAAACTTCACACTTTCCATTTTGGGTAGGTCCAAAAGAAACTTCACACTTCTTCTCCCTTCCTTATTTGGCAAATTATCTACATCAAAACAATGCAAAACAGTGTTTGTCAAACAGTGCCAAACAGTGTCACAACAGTGTACTCTACAGTAAAGTCAAATTTATTTCCTTAATTTGGGTGAAGTCAAAGTGTGAAGTTTATTTAGGACCGGAGGGAGTATAAGATTTTAGATACAAGAAAAAGATTAAGTCATAAGCTGTCTAACAATTGAGCGAGAGATTTCTATCTCTCATAAGCGGTGCTTTTAGATATAAGAAAATTCAGCTAACAATTGAGAAGGAGAAGTTTTTCTATAATATATAATGTTTTTAGGTATAAGATCAGCCGGCTAACGATTGAGCGGAAGATTTTTCTCTCTCTCATATGTAGTGTTTTTGGTATTATTATATATAGATAGAAGATAAGCCAACTTGCTAACAATTTCCTCTCTCTCATCTGTTGTTCTTTTAAGTGTAAGATAATACGGTTAAACAATTGAACGTGATAGTTTTCTCTCTCATATGTAGTGCTCTTAGATATAAGAATTTAAGAAGATAAACTAGGTAACAATTGAGTGGGAGAAATTTTTCTCTCATATGTTGTTCTTTTTAAGTATAAGATAATCTGGCTAACAATTGAGCATGAAAATTTTATCTTTCGTACGTGTGCAGTGCCTTTAGGTATAACATAAGTTGTCTAACAATTGAACGAGAGAATTTTCTCTCACATAAGTAATATTTTTTATTTAACAACATAAGACTTGCAAATTATTGAGCGAAATAATTTTCTCTCTCATATGTGGTGCTTTTAGGGAGTATAAAATAAGCTTTCTAAGAATTGAGCATAGAAATTCTCATATATGTAGTTCTTATAAGTATAAGATAAGATGGCTAACAATTAAGCAATGTAATTTTTTCTCTCATACGTAGTAATTTTAGGTTTTTCCATCATTTGCAATCGAGCCAAAGACTCATTATTTTTTGGCTTGAGATTATAATGGAATAAAGCAAAATGGCTCACTAAACTGTCTGCGCTTCTTTGTTATGGAGCAGCAGTCGGTCCATGCAATTTTGGACGCGATTTTCACTATGGGTCATCCGTAAACAGTCTCTCTGTGCTTTAGTACATGGGTAAGACTGCGTACATCCGACCCCCCCTTACCTCACCGTAGGTGGGAGCCTTTGCGGCACTGGGGTAAATGTAAATGAAAATGAATATGATGACGTAGTGATTTTAGGTATAAGATAATCTGACTAACAATTGAGTGAGAGAAGTTTCTCTCATATGTAGTTGTTTTAGGTATAAGATAAATCGGCCAAGAATTGAGCACAATAATTTTTCCTCTCATATGTTAGCATTAATTTAACTAATAATTCTTTCCGCCAATTGTTTGTGCGGTTCTTCTTCTCTAGGCTTCTAGAGTGCTTTTTAAGGAGGCGTGAGTGCGGCTGCAGCCTTTGGAAGTGAATCCAAGGTTCAAGAAACGATAATCATGTCTTCTATGAATGATTTAGAGCAGTGTTGTCTCATTTCTGTAATTGAGGAGGAGATCGAAGGGTTAATTTCTAGCGAATCAACATGGGTAGAGGGTGAAGGACTGAGCAAAGGAGAAGACAGATCGGCGGTCTGCCCCCCCCCCCCCCCCCCCCCCCCGAACCGCCGCCTTTGACCGATCGAGATGCTAGGGTTTGGAAAATTTATCAGTTATTTAATTTTGTATGGCTTTATTTTCACGTTTTTTATGTTGCTCTGTTTTTTATTTATGTCTTTAGTTCTAGGTCTACAATAATGATTGACAAATCTGCTAGATATTATGTCGATTGAAGGATCTATATGTGATGTGTCACACCCGTTTGGTGGTTAACGATTCGTATTGCTCTTTCAGGGGTGATCGTCTCTGAGTCTAGCCGTAGGGTTGATAGTGCTAGTTGGTTAGTGATAGTTGTTGTCAGGGTTGGTCTTTTTGAGTTTGTTGTAACGATTCCTTTCCTATGATTTTAATATAAAGCGGTTTGTTTTGATGATAAAAAAACAAGTTCCTATTTAACTAAAATTCATTAATTTCAATATTTATTGTATTCACTTGAAATTTATGTCACTCACCTATTGCATTCACTTTATTTTTTTTGGGAAAAGTCGGCTTAAATTGATATCAAAACATTCAGCAAGGGAACAAGAAGATAAAAGGACAACTTCCAACCCCCGACCCTCGAACCAAACTTAGAGCCAATCACCTTGGAAAAAGCAATATGGCTCGCTGATCCTATAATGTGTCTAAATGAGCCTAACGCAGTTAGAAAAGATCTCTCATCACCCCATCCTAATGCAAGAGTCTGAGTTATGAAATAAGAAAAACAGAAAGCAACAACGATAGTCTGATCAAAACAAAAAATAACAACGAAAATAAAGTAGTGGGAATTCAGCTGCATCCTCAAACAGCTGACAAAAATCCTCAGATCTCTCGGCGGGTCTAGTGTCTGAGACCCACCCCTTCATTTTTTGAAAAGTCCAATGCCATATTGTCCCTTTCGTCATCCTCATGCTCCTCTGCCTCCCACATTCTTCTACGCTTCTGCTCCTCTGAAGATCCCTCCATAGCTACTATTTCGTTCTTCTGTGCTTCCTTTGTGCCCGCATCTACCACGGTGCTTGTTCCACGCTGCCCCTCGAACCCAGTTGCTTCATCTCTGGTACTAGTAATTCCCTCTTTCTTGTCTTGCTTGCTCGGTCCGCTCCCGCTTAAGGAGCCTTCTATAATTAGCCATTTGTTACCCCTCATCGGTTGAGTTTTCCCTCCCCCACCTGCTCGAAGACTAACCCCAAACGGTTTGGTCAAACTTTGTTTTCACAGTCATATGCCAAGGGACAAAACCTGTCCGTGTGACCAATAATGCCACATACAAAACAAAAGCTAGGCAATTTTTCATATTTGAACTCCACCCCATGGCCTACACCCCCTTTCCTCAACGTCGTACCCACTTTCAGGACTTTCCCCACATCCAT